AAATAATGTTAGCTAGCTTAGGCTAGCTAGCAGGTTAGCAGTAGGTATGTAATACAGAAAGCAGCGAGAATTGAGAACTTCTCACTGAGAACAGCCTTCATCACTTTACTAATTTCAATGTGTAATGTTGAAAATTGAAAACAAACACTAGAATGAGCGCATCTTCTTCTTCGGAAGGGAAGGGGCATGATGGAGGAGGTGATCATGATCTGGAAGAGGAAGCGCATATGCCAGTAGGGTTTGGTGTTCCGAATTTTCCAGAATTATGCCCGCCGGCACCTGCCAAATGCCAGATTCTGCACCGAAGTCTGTTAGGATGGAGTAGACGTGTGACCTGGGATGAAAACCAAATGCCAATATATAATTCAATCAGACCCAAGTTTCAAGTGTCAAATTAAGTTAAAAATACAAAAAGCCAAAATCCACGGCGAATCCACGGCGTCCAGTTAAGCAACGAGTAAAGCAATTTCAGCTTCAGGCAGGCCCAAAAAAACTTGGAGCGTCTTGAAGCAATTCGCAACTCGCAATTCGCAACCAAGTGGCAGTGTAGTCGCCAGGCATTCGCTTTCCAGTGACAACATGTGCGTTAGCTTCAAAGCTTTGTGAACGGTGCTGGTGGCACGGGCCCCCATAATTTGCCCAACCAGCATCCTTTTTTTCAATCGAGTAGACGCTGCTTCCTTCAACATGTTCACAGTTGTTTCCCCGTCTACAATTCTGAGTATGTCCGCTTCACCGTTCAAATATTCCTTGCCAAATTGCGGAGATGCGTCTAAGCGCACATGCAAGCAAAAATGCCCTTGCGCAGCCAGCAGTGTTCTTCTACAGAAGAGCATCGAAGCAAGATCTGTATAAATTCGATATCTATACAGGCTTGATTTGGAAGGAACTGTAAGGTCTTGCCCCCTGAAGTGTTGGCCGAGCTCAGGATGCAATACCATGTTCATTGACCTTGGACGAGTACTTGAAACTTGAAACTTGTACTTGTATTGTGGTAGCGGCTGCTAGTGTCGTCCAACTGTCATGTCAACTGTCAAGTGCCCAACTAACAGTAAAGTGGGCCTATAGCCGATATAGCCTATATCTATAGCTTATACCCTATGACTATGTATGGAGTATGTAGCAGTAGCAGTCGCATCGCATCTATTCCGAATCCAAATTCCAAATTTGAAGTGCTGAGTACTAGTACTGAGTTCAGAGTTCTACTGCAGACAGACTGACAAAGACAAACTACTGGACTTCAGGACTTCAACACTTAGACTTCGCCAAGTTCAGTCGAAGACACTCCCGCACAACTGCCTTCATATCCTCTAGGCACCGCAAGCGGTCTCCCAAAAGTACCTGAATTCCACGGGGGCGGTGGCGCGCTGCCGCCCGGCAGTTGACTTAAGTTACTGTTGATCAGAATCAGAACTAGAACTTGAATCTGAACAACAAGACAAGACAGTCAGTCAGTCTAAGAAACAACACAACAGACTCAGACACACACAATACAGAGTGCAGTGCAGAGATGATCAAACTAAACGCAGACACATGATTCATTCAGGGAGTCGGAGTCAGTTAGTAGTGAGCAGTGAACCGTGAGAGAACAACTTTATCCTAGGTGCTGCGTCAAGAACGTAATCCCCGCTGTATTTGCACCCAACCAGCTCACCAGTCGCATGACTCTTGAAGGTAAAGAGGTCCGTCATCCGTGAAACTGCAATCTTGGCATTTTCAACCTTGCCCTCTTCCAAAAAAGCTAAAATGACTTGCAGCCGCTGCTGAACCGCGCTTTGCAAGGGTTCAGTGCTTGAACCTGTGCCTGCTTCCCTTGACCCCGACCCCTCACAAGAAACCAGCGTGGTTGAGCCGCAGCCGCGCAAACGTTGTCGAGTTTGAATACCTTGGTCGGAGTCGGACATGGTCGTATGTGAACCGTGTGCAGTGTGTGTGTGTGTGGAGCGGATGGCTGCTAAGTGCTAAGGGGTACTTCTACCGCTACGCAGCTCTACAACCCAGAGGGGCAAGCGTGTCCATTGGGTTGAGTATGGTACTCAGTACTCGGGACTCGGGACGGCAACTAGTGGGCTTGAGTAATTCAGCCAATGTGCAAAGAACGAAGTGAACTTCTGGTCGCTCCCAGGGACAGGTAAAGCCCAAAATCCGCTCAAACTGTTGCAGGCAAAAGAAACGACTTGTATTCTCCTCCGCCTCGGCTACGGCATACCTAATCCTCAATTTGTAGCCGCCTTGCACTACTGGGTTTGTGAGCTCCTTGAGAAGCATCAAGTCTTCTGAAGGCAGTCTGGTCATGCTCCGCCTACCGGTGCTACTGTTGGCTGGAATTTTTCTTTGAAAGGAGACCCTTGCCAAAGCCTTTTTTGAGTCTGCATCCATGACAGTGAGTCCTACGTAGTCTTTGTTGGATCTATGCCAAAGCCAGTGGGAATTGCAGGATTTCATGGCCGATGTCCCAGCATCACTGTCAGTATTTCCCGCGAGACTCTCGAGAGTGCCATGGCTGCCGCCATTGTCACGTTGCATGGCTCGGCTCGGCTGTCTATATCTGCAAACTGCAAAGCGATACAAACACAAACTATGCCACTGTGCTATAACAGAATAGAACTGAGCAAGCCGGAAAATTGAGGCTCAGGTAAATGGTTGTCAACAAGGTGAATCTGAAAACTGCAGAGTGTTTATGTTTTTTGAAGTTAAATGCGCTCTACCCTCCAAACAGTTGGTAGCAGTACTTGACCGCCTTTCTCTACTTGCCATTTGACAAGTCTGACATAGGAAAAGCACGGTGTGAACAGTGAGGACGGGCGTGCTTTGCTTTGCACTCTCAGAAAACACCCGATCAAATATACCAAAGCAGCATACTCAGCCAGGCAGTTTTTGCAGTGATGTTTGGTTAGTGGTTAGTAGCTTGTTGCGGTCAGTTGTTGTGATTGGTGCAGCCAGCAGCTGTGACAATATCCTAATGTACGTCCTTTTGATGGTGCGTTGGCTGCGGTTGTTTTTATTCTTGTGATTTTTTGTTTTGTTTTTTTTGGGTATCTTTGTGTGCTTTTTTGGTATCCAGGCCGTTTCGGCCTCGCAACTCCGCACTTACCAAACACCCATGCCAAAACTGCCCACATGGTGATTTCCACGCGGCGTTGGGAATTAGTAATTGTGCGTTTCACATGTCAATCCTGGCCAAGAGCATCCGGGACACTCATACTGCCAGTGAGAGGAGGCCAGTGGATGGCGCATGCTTGGGCCATTCTGTTCAGGACTCTATGCCTCTGCGACTATCCTCTCTAAGCATGTGGGGGGAATTTTCGCGAAAGCCTTGACACTGGAAGACAAGAGCTTACACACGTTCGAGCTCTCTCGCCTTCATCGCCGAATCCTGCCCCAAGGAGTTCACCAGAGAATTTCAGAAACCAGTAATACAACTCCAAAGGACAGCATGGACGGATCTGACCTACTATCTCCAATGTGTTTGTGCGTGTGATGATTAGGTCAATTCCATGAGTGGTTGGGCTGCGAATCCTGCGAGTTCCATTGGACACATGGATACTCAAGCCATATTCGCGCTTGTTGGCAAACATCTGGGCGCGTAGATGTAAATGAAATGTGCTGAAAGTATCAGTTCCAGCATCAGAAATGATTAAAGGCCACTTTCCGGCACCGCCAGGGCCCGGTATGCCCCCGATAGCTTAACGCGCACCCGACCCAGCCCTACACAGACCCAAGTGGGCCGGCGCCCGGCTGTTAGGCGTAAGCCTTTAAATCCGGGCGCCGGCCACGCGCACGTTCCCTTGCCGGAGGCCTTCGGTTGGTAACCGAAGGTCAAAAACGCTCGCCGCCCCTGCCGCCGACCCTTTTGGTCGACCGCGGTGATACCCCCGCCCGACCCCCGGTCGACAGATTTCTATGTAATTTACAGTGTTTCGTGCGTGTGTGAAATATAAAAAACACTGTGTTTTACAGGGTTTTGGGCCCCTCGGCGGCCTAGAATTTCATCTTGGCGATGTTAAAAAAAAAACGTCGGTTTTTTCCATGGTTTTGCTTTGCGGGATGGAAAAAATTGTAAAAAGTTGTATCGGAATAATAGTTCCACATAAATTGCCTAACATATCCCCAACATAGGCCCAAGATAGCCAACATATGCCCAACTCAACATAGGGCCAACATAGGCCAACATGGGGCCAACATACGCCAACAAAGGCCCAACCAACATAGGCCCAACCTAGGCCAACATAGGCCTAACATAGGCCAACCTAGGCCCAACATAGGCTCAAGTTGGGCCCAAGATGTGCCCAACATAGACCACATGGGCCCTACTTGGCCCAACCTAAGGCCAAGATGCGCACCAGATAGCTTAACTTTGCTCAATATAGGCCCCACCAAGTCTCAAAGAGAGAGAGAGAGAGAGGCGCGCAAGACGGCTCTCCCGACTTCGGCGTATACCAGGTATACGCCCGGGCGGCCAGGCCCCTTCTCGAGAAGGATGCTACCGGGACGCCCGAAGTCCCGGTCCCCGTAGTGGGGAAGCGATGCTCTCCCACGACCTTGTGGCAGAGACAGAAACCGAGACAGATACCGACAGACACCGAGACGGAGACAGAGACGCCCTATACACATACCCACATAGGCCGGCGCCCGGCTGTCAGGCGTAAGCCTCATAAATCCGGGCGCCGGCCACGGGGCCACGGAGCCCGTGCCCTGCATAGGCCCAACATAGGCTCAACATGAGCTCCAGATGTGCCCGACATAGACCACATGGGCCCCACTTGGCCCAACCTAGGGCCAAGATGCGCACCAGATAGCTTAACTTTGCTCAATATAGGGCCCCCGTCTCCCACGCGGACCAGTTTCCGGCACCACCCAGGGCCCAGTATGCCCCCGATAGCTTAACGTGAACCCGACCCAGCCCTACACAGACCCAAGTGGGCCGGCGCCCGGCTGTTAGGCGCAAGCCTTTAAATAATCATATCTTTCACTCGAAAGCAAGATCATGCCAGGACCACATAGACGAAGGTATCGGCGGAAAGCGCCCGCGCAACCTCTCAAAAGGAGAGGACATAGTTATAACTTGTCTCAATGTCTTGGCTGGTTCATATGTTCAATGCGTCGCAGTTCACAGGTCCAACGAACTCAGCCCCAAGAATGATCCAAGAGCCGTTCATTTTCTCGAGTAGATGGGTAGGTCTTCACCACTGTCCGAGGTGCGCCGAGGACCTCGCTAGGTCACAAACATGATTTCACAGATCCGGCGATCTTGGCCCCGCACACAAACTGCCACCCTTGACTCACCCACGCCATTCAAACCTGACACCAGAGTACTCTGGGAATGTGCTATGCACAAATATTCAAAACAACGCCACCATTGATCGAGTGAGAGCGATTTTGAGATATTGAGAAGCGATTTAAAAACACACCCAGGCCTGCGGCTTGCTTGTACTTGGGAAGAAGAGAGGAGAAATTCGCATCTATGTGATACGTCCAAGGCTCACAAATCCACCTCATCAGGGATGGAAAAACAATATCCAACATTTTGTTGGCCGCAACTGTGCCTTCCTTGATCATCGGTTCCCCGAGTGACCACACACTTCTGGCCCTCGGTGACAAATATGATCGATGCCCCTACGGCAGAAGCTACCGGAACAAAACACTGCTTTACTCTGCGTTGCGCGTGGGTGCAGACACTCAAAGGGTTATTTTTACGGCCAAACATTGTTTGACACTCCTGCGCAACACTCTTGAGGGACAATTTTCTGGGACCTTCTTGTAGGACACTCTTGTAGCACGCTCTTGTGGGACACTCTTGTGGGACACTCTTGTAAGACACTCTCTGGCGGGACACTTTGTGGTACACTCTTGCGCGGCACTCTTGTCGGACACTCTTGTAAGCCCCACAAGACTTTTTGTGCGACACTCAGGTCGGACACTCTTGTGGGACACTCTTCAGCGGCGACCACAAATCCTCACCAGCGACACTCCGTGATTACACACACACATCTTTTCCGTTCCCCAATGGCACTGAGCCACACAAGGCCACTTTCCTCCGAGGCCGCCAAACCGCATGGCACAGCGACATCAGGACGTAATTTCGCGGCCTCTTGCGCCACGGACTAGATGTAACCATGTGACATGACACCTCTAGTCATCCCGCTCACAGCGACACGCCGCGTTTACACACGCACGTTTCCCAATCCACCAAGACTTCTGAGCGCGCATCTCGCAGAACCTACTCTCCGGACCAAATCTGCACCACACAGTCTCAAGCCCGGAACTTGCAGAAGAAGCTACTTCCAGCACGACATTTGCACTAGGAAGTTGCAGCACTGACCATTTCGCAAAAGACTTGTTCAGAAAAATGTTTTCAAAAAAGTCCCACGCCACGTCTCCAAAGCCAGCGTTTTGTGTTGGGTCACGCGCCAAGTCTTGAGAACGAGCGTTTCGTACAAGATGTCGTCCCACGCCAAGCCTCCAAAACGTACATTTCGTACGAGTCAAAGTCTCCAAAATGTGTCCTGCCAAGCAGCTTTGCAGTCCAGAGCCCAGCCCCTCAAAGCCACAGCCGCAGAAATGCCAATACCGATGGCACACCAACATTCACCTCCGCTAAGTCCGCCCGCGCCGAAGGTGCCGAGGCGTTGTGGAGGTATCGCGTAAGCCGCAAGAATAGTCCCAAGTGTTAGCTAGGGGGAGGAAGGCCTGTGAGTGCCCGAGACCGAGACAGACAGACCGAGACCGAGACAGACCGACCGAGACAAACAGACACACACACTCCGTGCGGGCGGCTTCGAGCGCGAAGCGCTGTGAATATCACAAGCTCACAATTTCTCGCGCCTGCAGCGGACATTCAACTTCCACACTCCACACCTCCAACACACACACAGAGCGCTGCGCCTGCCGCGAAAAGCTACAACATCACATCTTCGTATCTAAAATTCGACAAGTTTTGCGCCACACTAACGGTTTCTGACACTTGCGGAGCACACTCACATCATGAAAAACTGCCATTTGAGTTGAGACCTGCCACGAAAACACAGCTTCGAGGGAACGGCCTTGCACAGTGACACTCAATACCTCCACAAAAGGCTACACGTGCGCAGCAGAATCATCCTCCACACTTCCGTCCAAAACCTCCTTCAAAAGCTCCGCAAGGCCTATCTATCACATTCAAAAGAGTTGCGGATGGCTGCGGCCGAAAGCAACGTCACACGAACACAGCTCTACCCCCAGACCCCTAAAGATAAACGAGAACCCTTCGCCACGCATTTGGGACAAAGGCAAACCAACCGGAGCATGCAGCGTCCTTTTTTGGGAGTCGAGCGGCAAATGTCGAACATCTCAACAGAAAGCAGCAAGGAAACCAAGAAGGCAACACGTGACTCGCAATTGAAGTAGTGAAACCATTCACAAAATTCTCGGACAAAATCAGACCTATTTCTAGCTTCGCGCAGGACCACTCATTAAAGAAGACATTTCGAAGTTTGAGCATACCTCTTCCAAGGTCAACAGATTGCGAAGCCTGTTTCATCCACTTTGCCAAACCTTGGTTCCAACACCTGCTTGAGACAAGCTACGTGCTTTCGCCAGGCCAAGTCGCTGTTCAACTTCTTCCAAATCTTGGCACGAGCAAATTCACTGATGCAATTCTGGCCACCTAGACATACCTGTCTGGGCTAGTTAGCTTCCTTTGTTGGCTACCGCCAACTATGAAAATGGTTCGATGACAACTCCTGACGGATGAAGAGTTTGATGGCAGCGATAAATACACGTTGAGCCACTTTGTTCGCTTATTGGTTTTGTTGTCCTTTGGAAGAACAGCATCATGAACCATACCATAATACCAGATCTTGTCGACTGCCCAAACAAAATGGTTCACTCCAATGACCTTTAAAGATTGAAGTCGATGCCCTTCAGTCTTTGTTGGAACGTTTTGAGGCTCCGTGCCCTTCCGAAGGTGCCGTGAGTCCGCAATGCGTGTAGCAAGCTCAGAAGAGTGACTGCGACAGTTGAGCACCCAGGACAAAGACTGCAACAACAAAGCAAGCACAGCACAACAGCAGCTACAAAAAGATCACGGAACATCAATAATCTATATATATATATGGCAGACTCACCGTTCTTCCCTTCTTCAAAACAGGCAGGAGATGGATGGCAAAAACACATAGGTGGGCGGCGGACGCTTTTATCTGATTTCAGTATACGCAACAACTGCTGCAACAACTGCTGCAACAACTGCTGCTGCTGCTGCTGCTGCTGCTGCTGGCGACTGCAACTGTGGCCATGCAGAAAAATCCACACGACCTATATTTGTATATATGACTAGGAAAAAACCAGCGTGAACCTTCCTGGCGGTGCAATTGTCATCTGCTGAATCTGCGATTCGGGTCGTGCTCTCTACGTCGGGTGACCAGAAAATATGTGTTGAGAGAGCTTCAACTTGTCATAGATGACTTCCTTCGTAATTCAACACCATCGAAGAGTTCAAGGCCACTACATCTTTGCTACTTTGGGTTGCAAAGGCTCAGATCTTGAACCTAAAAGCATGTGTTACAGCTGAGTTGGTTGTTGCATGTGTTGCCTGTACTATCTTGTCCGAGAAAATACTTTCAGCGCGGCAGCACTCAGCTATCTGACATGGATCAGCCGAAGCGTAGTTCGTGGAAAAAAGGAGGTCCGTTCCGCAAGGACACAAACAGTCAAGTCTCCAGGTGGGCTCAACGAGCTCGTTTTAACTACGACTTGAATTTCAGGCAGTGACTCCGGGGGGCAGGAGCTTAGCCAATCACCTTTGAGACTGACAAGTGCTTCAAGGCCTCCCACTACATAGGTGAAGTCAAAATGAGTGTGCTCATGGGCAGTTAGTTTCCCGTGTCTGCAAGCCATTCACACAGGTGTTGCAGTGTAACACCTGAACTCCTGCTGGTACTTTGTCACTGTTTTGCTGGATGTACACAGCTTTCTTAACCAAAAAGTCTACTGTTGGTGTTCTCTCTACTTGTAGAGGAAAAAGCACTGATCAGTCTCTGGCCTGGTCATCCCCTGAACCCTGTGTCCGGGCGTTGCCCCTCAGATTTGATATCATCCTCGGAGTTTCTTTTGACATATACCCCTTCGTTTTGGCACACGTGGCCAGGGAATCAGAAACTGTGTTCAATCAAGGCTGTTCCCAAACAGCTGGAAGCGACAGGAAAAAAAGCTGACGCCAAAAAATGATGCTGTTTGGGGTCTGCGCTTGCCTATATTTAATTGGGTTCAAAGCAGGATCAACTGATTCTGGAGATATGCCTCCTGTGATCTTGTTCATCTTGAGTTTCAAACCTCTAGTACCCAGGTAACATGCATGAAAGGGTTGGAGGCGCACAACGTGGATCGTATCTGCAAGTTGCCTCGGTGGGGAAAGCCTGCATCTCCTGTCACTGTAGGTTATCGAATTTCCTGCAGAATAATTTTACGATTTTCTTCTCACCCTCGTGACTATCGTCGCAGCTGCGCTTGGGACGACTGCACTGCTGATTCTAGTACTCCAAAGTACTATACAAACAGTGCCACTCAAAACACAAAATACATCTAGGAGCCGCATTGCAGCAACAACAAAGACCAGAACAGGAGGAGCACCGATAGCGGGAACAATAATTGTGGCGAAGAAACATAAACTATACATAGAAATATACAGTAAAGCATTTGGCCTTGACCAACTCGTTGAAGGCTATCCATGATCTTGCGCGCCTCCAAACTGGTCCATTGAGAATTGAGACCGCAGTTGGCACGCTAGCAAAAAAGAATGTCTGTAATGAAATTAGCCCATCTGAAGACCCCAATAGCGACATTCTAACCAGGACACAAAGCACCTTTTCACACGAGCGGCTTTGAAGCGCGACAGTAGCCTGAAAAATAAAGGTGGCTCATGGATCATGGTCACTTTGGAGCCAACTACATTTCGGAACTCCATCAGAACAGGACCGGGACACCATCAAAACCACACCGAGACACCATGCCAAGAAGGCACAAGGCCCGTCAGCCCATTAGCTTTGCAAGACCCCATCGCATGGCTATTGGGGAACAATGTGCAAAACAAGTCCTCGGCCCTCGGCATCGCAGGCCTCTGCTTGCTCTGCTGAGATTACATCCATCATCTCCCTCTGTCGCTGGTCAAGGTCAGCCTCGCCATATGCTGACTGGACTTCAGCTACTGGTCCACTAATGCTACTTACGACTAGTCTTAGTCTGAAGTGGCAAATGCTATGAGAAAGTCGACCTGAAACCTAGGCCTTCCTTTACCCTTGCAAGTAAGAGGGAGACACCAGGCCCCCCTGGGTCCCAATCGGTCGTGAGCAAACGTCCAGAAATGTCGTGAGCAAACAGCAAAAAGCAGCAACTGTTTGCTCCCAAATTAGATTCCAGCCTCTTCAAGCATGTCAACGCTGTCGTCGACTTGAGGACCTTCCATCGACCACTTGGATCCAACTGTCTTTCGCCACTGCTTCACGAAAGTTAAACATGGAGCCTCCAACAATTTCAGACTGACTGCCAGCCTTCCAGCTCCAAAGCAAATCGGTTTAGCCACCTTCAAGACAACAACTGTGAAAGCGGCAAGCCAAAAAACCTCAAGAAACGCGATAAATTCCTGAATGCATGTCAATACCACATCAAATGTCTTGGGAAGCACGGGGGTTCTGACTCTTTGCACCTGAAAACGTGCTGCAGCTAAACAACTGACTGCACAGGGTGCAACATTTTAGCAGGAGGGAAGGGAACACGTTCAATCTACATCCAAACAACTGTGATCTTGTTCCGTTTTTGACATCTTTTGTTGTTAGCCGTGGTGGGTCGAGACCTGGTGGTGTGGCTGTTGAACTGAACCTCGATGTTTCACCGTGGTTACTGCCTGCACCACGCATCCACTTTTGTGAAAGGACCGTGTGCCTTTTCATTATGTAGTTTGCAGTGGTTGGGGGAGACACTGACCTACACCGGATGCGGAAATACCCTACTGCTTGTGGAACTGAAGCAAAAGGCTGCATCTCTTCCACGATGCGATCTCCTAAAATGCCCTGGAAAACTTGAGACGGTCATTGCAATGTGCCTCACAGTCTTGCATTTCTGGACTGGACGCTCTTACACAGTTCGACGATGTCGGTGGCACTCGCTGCTTGACCAACACGCCAACGCCGTTCAGCGTGCCAAACTACACCGTGCGGCGACAAATTTATACCCGCCAACTCACGAGCGTGGCATTTACCACAGATCAGACACATTAAGACAAAGTGGTGGACGAGCCGCCATCTTCCTCTTTTAGGGGTGGGAGCTTGGGAATTTTGCAAATGACAGACCACAACGGCGCTCTTCCGGCCTGCCAAGGATTGAGCCGGGGTCGCACCATGTTTGTGTTTTTACCATGCTTGACATAATGTTTGCACATGGCTGTCACTTTGGCCACGCGTTCATATGACCCGAGAGTCAGCAGTATTATGCAGCAAGTGTTTAGACCAGCGCCTGTCTAGCCAATCACTTTTTTGCCACTAGCTTTACACGTTTAGTGGCACAGCGCTGCTCCTACGCCGAGCATGTGGCGCCGATCGTTCGAGACACGCCATCTTTTGTGGCTAGCAGTTTGCGGCAAAAGTCTGCAGTTGGCAACAGCAGTTGTTCCAGAATGTACGCGTCGTGTCTCGTCCGGTTCGGAATCATACACAGTCTGGTCTGCAGCGGTCTAAGTCCTCCGCCCAAAGATCCCTCCCCAGCCATCTTTCAAGAGGTTCTTCCAATCAACACCATACACCAGCCACCTTAGAATCAGGCGCAATGTACAGTCAGCTAACTCACAGAGCAGCACTAGGGCACCAAGGTTGGACTGCCAGGGCCAGCTTTGGGTTCTCCTGAGAAACCACAGTTTTTGAAAACAAATAAAGTGTCCAATCCAACTATAAAAAAAAAAGGTATTCCAGTCCTCTGCAAGCCGAACAAGTGCTGCAGCGGCATAGGCAACAGCGCAATTGCACTTCTGTTGGTGAGAAAAACGTGCATCCAAGCAAACACCAAGGCTAAAGGTGACAATACGGGCAATGTCATGTTGCATCCGGTGCAATCACAAGACCCTGGAAGAACCCAAGGTTGTCAAACCAGCTGGAATAAACTGACGTTGCAAACCGTTGTCATACCAATACACGCAATGAAAACAGCCTGGCTTGCGCTGACTGACTTCGTGGCTAGCCTGGTTCTCGCCCGAAAGCTGCACGCCCTCAAGCTTCAACAGTTTGCGGAACGCCTGTCCCAGGTACCAACAAAAAAGCAAACCAGCATCGACCCAAACAGCAACTGCAGCGTCATGTTTCTATTCATCCAAGAAGAGCCATGAAGACAAAGGGAGACAAAGCAGAAACATCTTGGCCCAGCACGCAAACAAGAATCACATCAGCCCACCATCCAGAAAGCCATGGGGTATGAAGGATGAGACAGCGAGACAAAGCAAAATCGCCGTACGCCACCCAGAAGAGCCATGTGAGGCAAAGGGCGACAACGCAGAATCGTCTCACACAAGGAAAAATCATCTCAGCCCAGCAACCAGAAGAGCCATGTGAGACAAAGGGATGGAACCACGTCAGCCCTGCACCCGGAACAGCCATGGGAGAGAAAGGTAGACAAAGGGCCAAAGGAGCGAAGCAAAATCATTTCCCCAGAAATCTCGGCCCAGCATCCAAAAGGATCATGGAAGACAAAGGAAGCAAAGGAAGACGAAGCACTGCAAAGCCCAGCATCCAGAAGAGCAGCTGACCAAGAAGAGCCATGGGAAACAAAGCAGAATCAGACCAGCACCCAGAAGAGCAATGGGAGACAATGGTGGACAAGGCAGCCAAGCAAAATCATCTCCCGACACAAAGGAGACAAAGAAGAGCCATCTCAGCCCAGCATACAGAAGGACATTTAAAAAAAAATGGCAAGAAATGATTGTGGTCCAGGATCGCGCCTGAATTGACGGTTTTTGACAGCAAAGCTGCTTGGGGAAAACGATTGTGTATAGGGCCGCGCTGACATATCTCAGCCGAAGTGGTGACTGGAACCAAGGCTCCAGGATCGATCAATCACTTGAAAGTAGACCTTCAAGAAGAAGGCCGAAGAAAAGGAGAAAACACGCTAACTGAAGGGCAGGTGAAAACGAAGAATGGTACCACAATCCCAAACCACCCGCGGGCAAAACCCCGCGCAAAACCGGAGGGGTTAGCAGGCCAATTCCCAAAGCAGCTGAGCTGGCGCAACAGGACTTCAAAAGGCCCACGAAAATCCCCGTTTGTAAGATGATGGTGCGAAAGACATGGCCCTCATCAACGCGCCATCCAAGCATCAGGCACGTGCGCCCGCATACGCGCATGCATGACAGCGGTGCAACCGTGGAAGCTGCCCCGAACCAGCTCTGGAGTTTGCCGCACGCGTGACCCGATGTCACCATCCCAGTGTGACAAGAGCCACCATGCTAGCGTGACCCGTGTCAGTATGCCAGTATGATAACATATCAGCGCGACAGCTTGAGAACACGTCAATATGACATACAGAGCATGTCAGCGCGTCCGTGAAAAAACACTATAATAGAATCCAACACGCCACCGTGACACCGTGTTAGCAGGACAGCATGCTAGCACGTCAGCCAGAAGCAGCACGTCCGATGACAGCAACGTGACAGCGCACACCATGCGAGCATGGTACAATGGAATGACAACATGTCAACATGACACCATGCCAGCACAATCACACGTCACCACTACATCGTGACAATATCAGGGTAAATGCGAAGCTGGAGGCGGACTCCTATAGGATCTGTTCCAGAACTTGGCCCAATTACTGGTTCCTCTGGACTTGCTCCGGCACCTATTCCGGAACATCAGGTACTTGCTCCGAAACCTGCTCTGGCATGCTCCGGCACCTCGCTCTGGCAGAACTTGCTGCGGCACCTGCTCCGCAACCTACTCTGAAACCTGCTCCGGAAATTGTTCGGGAACCTGCTCTTGAACCTCCTCTGAACTTATATATATATATATATATAGATCAAATCTGCATCTAAGTCTAAACAAACACTACGCAAACTTGCTTAAAAAAAACATGTCTACCGTTACTAATCATCCACCGATTCACAGAAGTCTACGGGAATGAGTCAAACTTAAGAAAATGACACGCCGTGGACAATGTGGCACACGCCCCACCTCTGGAGCAGCCCGGAAGGCCAAGACAGAGGCATTGCTGTTGGGCAGAGACTGGGGACAGCGGGGCCATCCGACTCGCGTTGCCAGTCTTGAAGTTGGGACGTACAGTTTCTCCGTCCCTCAAGCGAGAATTGAAGACAAACTAGAAGGTAAGGGCTTCTTGACTAAGGCCCCGTTAAAGGGGGCCATCAACGCACTATCGCTCATCCCGATTTTTTCGCATGAATGCATTCAGTTCTTGGCTGTGAACACGATCAAGACCCCCCAGCATTTCTCATTTCAATGACCCTCAGGCCCTTGAGCACGCGGCACTACGCCACTCGTGATCGAGTGTAGCGGCGCCCTACATGATCCGCTCGGCATATTTCCATGAAACCCCTCTTTCCAGCTCCAGGCTAACCAAAAAATACAAGAAAAGCGCCAAAAGCAATACCAGGAATACACTTTCTTCGCATGGTTGTACGCCCCAACTAACAAGGGTTCCCAAACATAGGGGCACAATTCCAAAAGTGCCCACCAAGGAATTGTTTCATTGATTCATGTACCCCTGCTTGCGCGCTTGTAAAAGTTAGTTTGTTGCGGCAGAACAAAACCAACGGCAATCCGGCCGCAAGATCAGCAAGTACCCCCGTAGACACGTCGGAATTACACCACCGTAGATCCCAAACAGTTAAACTAGAGCTTGCGACGTCCAGAGCTGGGAGACAAATGTAAAGGATTGCAAGGCAGAGACGGACACAGCAGTACAGAGCGGGCGGACACATCTTAAGAAAGAATTGACAAGCCCCAACAGCAAACCTTTTGGGGAATTATTCTTCAAGTGCGAACCTGATGCTGGTCATGCTGCTCAATCAGCGGGCAGCTGACCACGTGAGAACAAGAAATAAAGGCATGAGGATGATTCTTGGTGCCTGACGTATGCCCTCCGCCCCAACTGAACAGAGAGATCGCTGCCACGCCGCCGAAATCCAATCCGGTCATTCATCCAACGCTTGCCCGAAAAGGAAAATTACACCACCGTAGACCCCAAACAGTTTGTGTTTTTCAAAATCGAAACTAGAGCTTGCGACGTCCAGAGCTGGGAGACAAGTGTAAAGGATTGCAAGGCAGAGAGGGACACAGCAGTGACAAACAAATGAATAGAAATGCTACATGGCCAGCGGAAAGGGGCGGACACCAGCAGTGACAGATGTGGCAGACAAATGAATAGAAATGCTACATGGCCAGCAGAAAAGGGTGGACACCACCAGTGACAGGCCTGGGAGAC